TACACCAAATATTCATGGCTATATCTTATGAAAAACAAATCAGAGGTCACCACTATTTTTGAAAATTTTAAAAATGTGGTTGAAAATTTTTTTAATACAAAAATAATCACGGTTTACTCTGATGGAGGGGAGAATATCTTGGCCTTACTCCTATGTTAACCAAACATGGCATTCAACATTTAAAATCTCCTCCCCACACACCGCAACATGTTGGCACTGCAGAACAGCGCCATCGCCATATCGTCAAAACTGGATTGACCTTACTTCACCACGCCCCTCTCCCTCTATCGTATTGGTCCGTTGCCTTTCAAACTGCGACCTATCTCATAAACCGCCTTCCCACACCCATCCTCCAAAATCAATCCCCCTTTCAACAACTTTTTCACAAATCACCAAACTATCTCAAACTCCGGGTCTTCAGTTGCCTGTGTTACCCATGGTTGCGTCCATATACTGCTCACAAATTAGAACCCCTGATCTCGTCCCTGCATCTTTATTGGTTATTCCTCCGAACACAATGCTTATCGTTGTCTTGATCCACAAACCAACAGAATTTTTGTGTCACGACATGTCATTTTTGTTGAAAGTTCCTTTTCGTTTCATGACAAGACAAATTCTTCTACTCTTGTTCACTAGAATACTATCAGTCAATGGGCTCTCCTTGACACTCCTCTTCATTATTCTGTCACCAGTCCACCCAATGTCTCCTTGCTGCCTACCTCCAGTCATGATTCATGTTCCCTTGCGTCCCGCCCGCCTACGACCACTTCCACACAGCCTCTCAACTGCCTTCTGACTGATGTATCCGTGCTCAGCGTCTCGCCATCACACAACAACATTCAGGTTAGTACCTCCAGCACCTCTATAACACCCGCCCCTACCCCTGCCACCCCTACCCCTCATTTTATGCGTACCCGGTCACAGAACCAAATCTTTAAACCAAATAAAAAATATTGTCTCACCAACACCACCTACTTTGATACAACTGAGCCTGCTACCTTCACCTAAGCCCAAAAATCTGCCCATTGGCGTCAAGCTATGTGTGAAGAATTTGATGCACTTGTCCACAATGCCACCTGGTCCCTCGTCCCCCTTCACCCCTCACAAAATTTTGTTGATTGTAAGTGGATTTATAAGATTAAACGAAACCTGGATGGTGCTATCTCCCGCTATAAGGCTCGTCTTGTTGCTAAAGGATTCCTTCAACGCCCATGCATTGATTTTCATGATACATTTAGCCCTGTTGTCAAGCCCACCACAATTCGGATCGTCCTTACTATTGCTGTCAATCATAATTGGCCGATTCGTCAACTCGATGTTAATAATGCGTTTTTACAAGGTTCTCTCACTGATTATGTTTATATTCAACAGCCTCAAGGATTTGTCGATGCTCAACGTCCTAATCATATGTGTAAACTTCATAAGGCCTTGTATGGTCTTCGTCAAGCACCACGAGCCTGGTTCCAGGAATTACGAGGCTTTCTTCTTAACAATGGGTTTACCAATTCCCATTCAGATGCGTCCTTGTTTATTCACACTAACGGCCCACTCACTATTTTTCTGCTTGTCTATGTTGATGATATTCTTATTACAGGAAACTCACCTTCACTACTTGACAAGTTCATTAGCGCTCTTGCCCAACGGTTCTCACTTAAGGATCTTGGCTCTCTTAGTTATTTCCTTGGTGTTGAAGCACTTCCCACGGCTAATGGATTATTCTTGTCCCAACAAAAGTATATTCGTGACTTGCTGCAACGCACCAACATGCTTGAATCGAAAGAAGTTTCCACTCCTATGAGTTCCACTGAATCACTCCGCCTCCAAGATGGTAGCCCCCCTGCAGATGCCACTAAATATAGACAAATCATTGGGGCCATGAAATATCTCTCATTGACAAGACCAGACATCTCATTTGCCGTGAATAAATTGTCTCAATTTATGCACCAGCCCTCGCAACAACACTGGTGTGCAGTCAAGCGTGTTCTTCGCTATCTCAAAGGAACGTCCACCTATGGCATACTCATTCACAAATCCTCCGCACTGAATTTGCATGCTTTCTTCGACACTGACTGGGCTGGGGACATCAATGATCGAACTTCCACTTCTGCTTATCTTGTTTTCTTAGGTGCCATGCCGATTAGTTGGAGCTCCAAGAAACAGAAAACTGTTGCGCGATCTTCGACCGAAGCCGAGTATCGATCGGTTGCGTCCTCTGCTGCTTAAGTTAATTGGATTCAAAATCTCTTGTCCGAGCTTCAAATTTCAGTACCAACCTCCCCCACAATATACTGTGATAATGTGGGTGCAACTTACTTATGTGCCAATCCGGTCTTTCACTCTAGGATGAAACACATAGCAACAGACTTTCACTTTGTACGTGATCAAGTTGCCAAAAAGAAGTTGAGAGTTTCACATGTACATATTGCTGATCAGCTTGTTGATTCACTTACGAAACCTCTCCCTTGTCACCAATTCCTTCGCCAACGATACAAGATTGGCGTTCGCAATGGAACCCCAATCTTGCGGGGGCATATCAGTGAAAATCTCTCCAACCACAAGCAAGTTTAAATTTTATAGTTTGTATTTTAAATCTTGTATTCTGAATCTACTAGAATCTGCTAGATATTGTCGTTGTTATTTATCCTTATCTTTTTGTTACTTTGTTCCACACTTGTAGGCATATATTGTGGAACTAATTGATGTACTCAAGCTGTATATATTCTCATCATTACGATCAATACAAGTTACGCTAAAATTCATTCATTCACTCAAAACCTCTTTACTCGGTACGTTGTCATTATACAAAAATGCCGCAGCAGCTGTTGCAGCACCTATTACAGTAATAAATCACCGTATTCGTCTCGAAGATGTCCTTGTGTCTCGTTCGTCATTTACATTTCCTAGGCATGGTTCCGACGAGATGAACCCATTCAAAAGACCAAACATACAAATCAATATCCTAGGCATCTACAGATCTTTACATAGAAATGTGAATAATGTGAGGATCACATACCATTACAGAGTTCGAATATGAGGATGAGATGAACGACACCATCAATAAAAAACAAAACGCAGACAAAGGTGTTTTGAAAATTTTCAGTGAGCTTTTGTTTCCTCTCCGGTAAGGGCGAGAAATGAACTTACTTGCGTAGTATCGGTGAAAGTTGTACCGAATGTGAAGCTTCAGTCGATTGTTCATAGGCAACCCTTTACTCGAAGCACTTCTCATTAACTCAGAGAAGAGGATTCAACCGAGATGTGGGTTCTTTACCCGGTTAATTTGCATGTGAGGGAACAGAAGCGTGAAAATTTTGAAGAGAAAGGAAAAATAGAGAAAGGCTGAGCAGATTCTCTGAAGGAGCACGAGAAGAACGAAAGGTTGAGGAAGGCTGGAGATTTTCTGACATAATCGGTAGTCGAGGCTGAGCGTGAGGAAGGTGGGAGTCATTACTCAGGTTACTGTTTATGCACTGTGCAGAGGGATTCAAGTTGGGCTGAATTAGAGGAGTGGCTGATTTTGAATCAGGACCCAAAAAAAACCCTTATGGACTCAAACCTTGATTCTAACCCAATGCACGATTTGGTGGATCCAAACATGGGTTCTTAAACCTGACTCCGAATCACAAGCCTGAATCCACCAACCAAACGCACGCTAAAAATTACAACCAATTGGATTAATTCTCCTGGTAACTAATTTGCTGTAAATGTGGTGCCTAACCCGGCAGTATCTCAATTCTCAAGCGATATATATGTGTAAATTTACAACTTCACAGTAGCTTATTAAAGTATATAGGCTATGGACTCGTTCATTTTATTGATTTAAATTTTCAGTTTTAAATTTTTACGGTTAAAAGTTTTTAAAAATGTAACATTTAATTTTGTCTGTTTCAGTTAAAAGCTCTTAAAAATGTCAATCTTAACTCGAATTGAAAACTCAAATTTGTGAAATGAATAACTGTTTAATTCGTTGATTTGAGTTTTTAATTTAAATTAAAATGTGACTTTATATGAGAATTTTTTACTGTAATTAAAAGTAAGATGTGATTGTTTTTTAAAATTTTTTATTAGAATAAAATTTAAATTTTAAACTTAAATATGTAATGAACGGGCATGATTTATATATGAATCAGAAATCAGCAGAGCAGATCAAGAAGAGAGAGAGATCAGCAATTAGTAGTTGTATGTTGTGCATCGGAAAAGAGCAAACTTACAATCAACTGGAGCTGATCATCATCATCTATCATCTCTTATTAGCTTCTCTGCAATGCAGGCCAACCTCCCCCCTCGTCCAGCTTTTTGCTTTGCTTACAATCATCATCATTTCACGCCTTAATGTCCTGTGTGTGTGTGTGTTTGTGATCCCCAGACTAGCTAGCTAGAAGAAATTAACCAAACTGTAGCTAGCGTCTCTAACATATATATCTTATTAAGGGGTTGTTATTTTAAAGTGTTATTTAAGTGTAATTTTTGAGTTGAATTTGAGTTATAATTTAAGTTTAAAGTTATAATTTGAATAAAGTTAAATAAAATTAAATAAAATTAGAACTTTTTAATATAAATTTAAATAAAATTATAATTTAAATTTAAATTTTTTTTAAATTTTATTGCAAAAGAACGAGCCTAATAACCAACCAACGAAACATTCGAGAAACGATCGAAGGGCATTATCATATATTGAACCTGCAGCAATGTATGTGAGGGAGTATATATATATATATATATAT